CCGCCCCTTCCGCGACCACCGCGGCCGCCTTCGAGCGCGCGGGCGGCGGGCAGCCCCGGCGGCTTGCTGCGTCGATGCCCCGCTCTCCGCCTCCCGCATTAACTTTTGCCGCGCTTCGGTCCCCCTCCTGGGACTGCCTCTCTCTCCAACCAGAGAGTGGATCCCGACGAATCTCCCCACCACATCAGGCTTTATAGGGAGGGAGGAGGCTCCTGCGGGAGGTAAACACCAGGCCTTGCGTAACGCCCCATCTGGTTCTCCCGCTTCGCGAGTGAGATTTGGAGAGGAGGGTGGGGAGAACAGCACACCTAGGATATCGAGTCTAGGAAGTGGTCACCAGGGGGCGCTCTGGGGGCAAGGTAGCCGTGTGTGGGGAGGGTAGCCCCCTGTCACCCCCTTGCAGAGCCCTGATTTTACCTTTCCTTCGGCCTGTGATGGGCGGGTGGACAGGGTGCCAGACTCGCTCTTGGCATGTGTGTTCACATTGCCAGGGTGTGAATCATTCCAGGTGGCTGGCACACCTACATCTGGGGGCTGGGGGCCGGAAGCACAGATCCTGGTTTGTGTGGCTTTGGCAAGCCTCTGAGTGTTGGTGTGTGGCTGTCATTCCCGGCGCCTCTCACCTTTCCATCCTCCTGTCTTACCTATTAAGGGCTTAAGGACACTCTGAAGCTTTGGGATAGGGGCGGGGAGCAGGCGCCCACACTCTCCTGCCTCAGGGAACCAGGGCAGGGCTTTCTCAGCTCTACTCCTGGCTAGCTACCAGTGCCTCTCATTACTTTCTTCCTAAGTCCCTCTTTCTGGTTCTTTTTCTCTATTTTTCCCTGTGTGTGTTTTTATTTCCATTATTCTCTTTCCCTCCTTCTTCTGAATGTACCCAAGGATTATCTATTTCAACTGTCATAATTCACCGAGGCCCAGAGAGCCGGAATTGCCAGGGTCATGTAACAAGGGAATGTAGAGAAGCAGAGCCATACCTAGATCTTCTGACTTGTGCCCTTACTGTGACCCAACCCTACTCTTTTTAAATTGCAGATCCCTCAAACTCCCTCCTACTTTCTGACTTTTTTCTGATGTTCCCTTATGCCTTCATCTCCCAACCTCCTCCCCACTTCCCACCTCTCTTCTCTTCCCCCCACTCTCTCCTCTTCCTTGTTTCTCCACCTCTCCTGTGTCAGGCCTAGCTATCTGGATACGTGTGGAGGCTTGCAAATAAGTAAACATCCATATGTCTACAGCTGCGATCACCCACACTGTTATACAGCATGTGTGTGCATCCATCAGTGTACAAATGCCAGACATGCGCAAAAAATTAGATATATCTGAATAGTCTTATGCTCATGGAATATAAGACATCAGGAAGGACATCAAGTGTTATTTAGGAAGAGATGGACATGCTCGAAGAAAACATGTAAAGAAGCACTCTGTCATTAGTTTTATTGTCAATAAGGACAACAAATCAACAGCAGTAAGTCTTTATGGAGCTGCAGGACTTTATTAGGCACCCCTTCAGGCATCCTTCTTCTCCTTCCCCCATACTTATCAGGGAGACACTCAAATATGACCCTCTGATAAACAAACCTACACAAACAAACTTAGTACATTCATCTTGGAACAACTTTTCCAGCTCAATGCTAATAAAACACACAGATAACCAAGCAAAAGACTACAGATATGACTGAAATCTGTTTTGTAAAAGATGCATTTCTATTCTATGATAGATAGAATAGTCCCCCAAAAATGTCTACATCTCAATTCCTGGAATCTGTGAATATTTTACCTTACTTGGTAAAGGGGAATTAAGCTTGCAGATGGAATTAAAATTGATAAGGGAGATTATTGTAGGTTATCCACATGGGTCCAATGTAATCCCAAGGGCCCTTAAAAATGGAGGGCCAACACAGAAGAGGAGTACCTGACAGACAGGAGGATGAGAAATACTTGGTCTGACATTGCTGGCTTAGAATATTGGGAAAAGGAACCATGAGTTAAGGAAATGGGAAGCCTCTAGAAGCCGGAAAAGCAAGGAAATGGATTTCCCACTAGAGCCTCTAGAAAGAATCAAGCCCTGCTGACATCCTGATTTTAGCCCAGTAAGACCCATTTCAGACTTCTGAACTACAGAATTATAAGATAATAAATGTGTATCATTTTAGGCCGCTAAGGTTGTGGTAATTTGAGACAGCACTGACAGGAAACTAGTATATAACATTATCCCCTCTCCCCTAGTCTCTGGCTCTCTTAATCTATTTGCGCTTGTCTTTTTTTGCATCTTTCAATTTATCATATTTTCTAAATTTCTCTGCCTCTCCTAGCTATCTTGTCAGTCCCCTTTTCATCTCTCTTCTTTTGAATTACTTAATTTCTTGGCTTTATTCCCACCTCCAAGGCATCTCAGGATCTTTCTGAATCTGGGCTCAGAGAATTGGAGAAATATCTCTGAGTCTCTTCAAGAACTTCATATTGTCACCAATCTGTCATGCCATAGCCTTCAAGGGCTTTTCAGTGGTCCACAGCCTTGGTTGCACATTAGAATCATCCAGGAAACTTTAAAACTCCTGATGCCCAGGTGACACTGCAGGCCACTTAAACAGAATCTGTGGAGATGGGTTTGAGGCATCAGTAGTTTTAAAAGCTCTCCAGGTGGTTCCAGTGTTTAACCATGGGGGAGCCACAGTCTTGTATGATATGTGCAGGTGGATTCATCCCTCCAATTTACTCCTTATGCCCCAGCTCAGCACCTTTTCTCCTCTGTTCCTTGAGCCTGCTAGAGCTGATCTGGCTGTGCAGCCTTTGCATTCACTGTTCCTTTTGCTTGACCCCTTTTCCTCCAGAGCTTCCCATGGCTTTCTCCATTGTCTCATTCAGACCTCAGTCCAAAGGTAACATATTCAGAAAGGACTTCTTTGGTCACTTGTATCTCAAGTGTTTTTCCTCAAAGGCACCCACTATCTCTTTACACAGATGTGTTGTCTTCATGGTATTTACTACTGTCTGCAATGATCTATTGATCTCCTTTTGATCTGCTTTTGATCTGTTTCTGTCCAACAGAAGGTAAGTGGTACAGGAACAGAAACCTAACCTTCGTGTTCCCTGCTGCTTTCAATGCACTGGAACAGCACCTGGCACACAGTAAGTCTCACCAAACCTATGAGCAGTTGTTCAATTGCTCATCACTGCTTGGTCAAAGTGAGAGGGTCCTTAGTTGGACTCTACTTAGACCTTCTTGTCTTTCTCGAGCAGTTGTCATACCTCACTGGCAGATGCCAGGCCCAGTGCTCAGAATGCTCATGTGATAAGAGACATGGCTCTCAATCTGACCAGAAAAGCTCATGACTAGTGGTCATTTGCCTTCTCTTACCAGATGATAAAGAGTCCTGCTAGCAAAGCTTCAGCTCAGCCTTTACACTCTGGTTATCATGAGTTCATCTCTGAGATTCTAGGATGCCAATAAGGAAAAAGGCATTTGGAGACAACTCTGCCAGGAGTTGTTGCAAGACCTTCTCCCTCCCTCCCCAGAATGCCTAACAACTCTACACTTGATCCTCTAATCCCTCCTTGGGCTCATTCTATTTCCAGAGAGCCGGAAGGGTGGCTGTGATTTTGTGTGTGTTGGCTTGGCTTGGCTCGCTCCAGTTGACCATGGCTGAACCCTGCCTCTCTGTTAGCATCACATCTTCTCCTTTTTAAATGTAGGTGTCCTCCCATATAACTGTTCCCACCCCTTTCCAACTCTTTCCAGAATGCCTGCTGTGGTGTTGTGGAATGTGATAGCTCAATACCCAAGCATAGCACTGGGGAATGTGGAGGTGGGACAGACCTTAGTCCATCTCTTCCTTTTTTCCTTCTCTCCTTTGGTTTATCCTCCAGCCTCTTTCCTCCATATCCCCACCCCCTGAAAAAGCCCATAAGTTTTTAGGAGACCTCACGAGTGAGAGGTAGCTATAAAGAGGTGTTTGAGAGACTGATGATGGGCAGTCTTGGTCTCTGCTTTTAGGAAATGTGACAAGGCAGGTAAAGTGTACCCATCATCAGCAAAATCTATCATTACTGAATTAAGGAGTGTAATAAGGCAGATAAGGTATATTCATCATCAGCCTAAATCTGTTATTACCAAATTATAAAGGTGCACTGAGGTGGGTAGGGTAGGTGAAGATTCTGTTGACAGATTGGAGGACAAGTGGGAATGATTTCAGGAAGGCTTCCTAGAGGAGATGACATATAAATGAGGGGAGAGTTTTGTTAAGTGGGAGAGAACTGAAAAGTCTGAACAAAGAATGTAAAGTATTTTGGGTGAGAAAACTAGAATTGGAAAAAGAAGACATAGGAGGTAAGATGCACAAATGAAGGAGACCATAATTCTTTCTCAATTCCCACTCACTAAGCCCTTCCCAAAGTTTTTCTTCAAATCTCAATTGCCTCTCTAAAGATTCACTTAAAAAAAGACTCTGCAGTTGACAATGTACTTTAACTCAACCCAAAGTTCTGCTAGAGCAGAGCAGTCTTCCTATGCGTCTGCTCCAAGGTCTCTGGCTAAAATATCCTCCGATGGACAAGGCAAATCAGGTAGGGTGGACTTGAAGTAGAGGAAGAGGAAGAAGATTCAGCCAGATTAATCCAATCAATCCTGATTCCCAAATACATGGCCTATGTTATTAGGGATGTCATCCTCATAGTCCATTATTTCATTTAACCCTATAACAGCTGTGAGGCCAAATCCAGCCATTTTATAATAGTGAGTTCACTGGGATTCTGGTCTCTTTTTTTTTTAATTTGGAGTCTCACTCTGTAGCCCAGGCTGGAGTGCAATGGCATACTCTTAGCCACCACAGCCTCAACCTGCTGGATTTAAGTAATCCTTCTGCCTCAGCCTTCCAAGTAGCTGGAACTACAGGTATGCACCACCATGCCCAGCTAATTTTTTGATTTATTGTACAGATGAGGTCTCGCCAAGTTGCCCAGGCTGATCTCAAACCCGTGGGCTCAGGCAGTTCTCTTATCTCAGCCTCCCAAAGTGCTGGGATTACAGGCATGAGCCACCACAGACAGCCTGGATTCTGGTATCTTAAGAGATTTGACTAGCTTCATACAGCTGCTTAGAGACAGAGTCAGGATGGAAATTCAAATCTACTGGTTCAAAATTCTGTGATTTTTTTCCCTTTAAACTTGAGTTTCTTCTGAGACT